TGAAACAAAATATTTGATTTTTTTTCCTAAAAGTTTGAGAGTATCAATTTAATCTTGATAAAAAATGAGTTATTTCTCTTAGAATAAAAAAACAAAACTATAATTCGAAATAGTCCATATGCAATGCACGTGTATACTAACTAGTTACTTATAAATGTCAACATATGTGAAAATTTTTTGACTTCCTATTTTATCCCTAATTATTAATATAAAGTCAATGATACCCATCTATTATTTTCATCCAAATTTGATTTTCTATAATTATTTGAGTTCTAAGTGTTTTTGGACTCTTCTATAAAGAGTATTTGAATTCTAAATTCTGTATTACTTTTATCCAAATCTTATTTCCTATGTCTCTTTGACTTCTAAGTTCTTTTGAACTTTTTAATACATGAAAAATTTTTGATTTCCTATTTTATCCCTAATTATTCATATAAAGTCAATGACACACATCTATTATTTTCATCCAAATTTAATTTTCTATAATTATTTGAGTTATAAGTGTTTTTGGACTCTTCTATAAAGAGTATTTGAATTCTAAATTCTTTATTACTTTTATCCAAATCTTATTTTCTATGCCTCTTTGACTTCTAAGTTCCTTTGAACTTTTTTATTAATTATATTTTATTTTTAAATTCTTTTGAACTCATTTATTAATAGTATATTTACATACAATTTTTATGTCTATGTCTATATTTATATGAAGAAATAAAGTCCAATATTAATAATTAAAACCTTACAATGAAACTTCATTATATAAAAAAAGAAAGAAATGTATAATGTGTCAGGGAGATACCTAAAAAATGACAGATTAGATATTCCAAAAGAGGTAAATAAATATATAATTAGATTTTGTAATAATTAAAAAAATTATTTATTTCACACATAATTTAATATTAAATTTTATTACATATATAATTTAAAATTCTTATAATAAAATTATTATTTAAATATAATCACGTGCAACACACGTCGTGCATTACTAGTACATATAAAAAGTGTTGAGCAATAATTTATATTAAAAAGAGGGTGAAACCCTAAGGAAAAAAAAGAAATAATTCTTTCTTCTTGTCGTATGTTAAAAAATTAAGTCAATTTTTTTTTGTCTCAATAACATTATTCTATCTATGATAAATAAAATCGTTGTGATAAAAAGAATAAAAAGAAAAAGTGGGGGAAAGTGCATTATGTAATTTCAAGCTCTTGTTTTCTTCTCTCATTAATTAAAAGATGGGCTATTCTCACCGTACAAATTTTTATTTCCACCCTATTAAACTCTAAATTATAAAATTACTAAGGTGGTATTTGATAAAACTTAAAGTTAAATACTGAATGCTGAATTTTTTAATTTGTAGATTGTTTAGTATCAATTGAAATTTAAGTATTGAATTGAATCAAATTGTTTGACAAATATAATGAGCTGAAGTCTTAAAATTATTATTATTCTAATATTGCCATCCTTTTTAACTATTTCTCCGCAATGGTGGTGGGACGGTGGCACAATAGTAGTATGGCGATGGTGGTTGTAGTGATGGAGGTAGTGGCAATGGCGGTGACAGCGATGGAGGTGGTTATAATAACGGTGACACAATAGTGGTGGCGGTAGCGGTAGCGGTGACACAATGATGGTGGTGGTGGCAATGACACAATGATGATGGTGGTGGTAGTGATAGTTTTGGTGGTGGTAATGGAACAATAGTGGCGGTGGCGGCGACAGCGACAGCGCGACGATGACACAATGGTGGTGGTAGTGGATGGTAGGTATTGAAAAGTTCAGAGTGTAAAATGCATTGAGGGTATATTTGTCTATTTTGAGGAATTGATAAAATCCTTATGGCTGAAATCTAAATCTAGAGTTTAGAGTAGAGAAGAGCAAAGAGAAAGAAGAGATTAAGAAATAGGGTTGAAGAGCGTGAGAGTTAATCAACCTCTTCACTCATCACTTGTATTTATATTAACTCATAATAATGTGAGGATTACAACAATACGCTCATTTTAAAATAACTTAATATTCTTGTCACGTTTTATCCCGATCTCCCAAGGATAAGACGCGACTTGATTTTTTGATACACCTGTTTACGTATATATAATCTAGATTAATAAAAGACCAAATAATCTTGCAGGTGCAACAACACCCTCCATCACCTTAGTCGTTAAGCGTGATGGTAATACCTGTTTTATAACTTGTACCATATATAACACATATATCATTTCTGTTTTCTAGGTTATATATATGTACAAAATCTCACACCTACATAGCATACATCACAGTATGCTTGTTGAGTCTATTTACAAATATATACGTCATCACCTATTATAACAATCTCTCACTCCATATAATATACAACCTAAATAATATCACACTAACGTTGTATAAGATTCAATCAACTGGACGATGGACCGGTCTGCCTCATCCTCTAAAGTACCTAAAAAGAAGAAGTTATAGGGGTGTGAGCTAAACCATGCGCTCAGTGAGTATACATACCATATATGAAATGAAAATAATAGTAATACACTGAAGTCTGTAGATACTTTATAGGTACACATATCAAACAATAACATCACTCCAATTCCAAAGAATTCACAAGTCACATCACATCCATACTACCCCTCATCGGGTAATCGATCCCACATGGATCCGTGTCTCCTGAACCTTCTAGGAACACCACAATGCTAGCACACCACTGCATGCCCAGTGATCAGGCATCGACGTTCTTGTCTCAATCAGTGCGCCACATTCCACAATACATAATACACAATGCACAATACAAAACAATATACAATCACATAAGCACATAGCACATAATTCTGGAGAAATACTATTAAATTTTATCATCTAACATCATCTTATAATATCATTTTTAAAACATATAAAAATATATACCCATCTCAAATATTCCGATCTACGGCCCTTCGGTTCTATCGGTGGATTCTTTGGGTGTTTTCATATTAATCTCTATACCAACTGTCCTACCTGTTCCACCTAACACATAAATATTAACATGTTTATCACATTGAATAATTAATCATGCACTAATGCATGCAAAATGATTCAACCCAAAGTGCCCTGGTAACACTGGTTACCGCACTGTTCACTCACATACTGGCACATTAGATTTAGGGATCATATTTCTTCCCCAAATCTTCAAAAATTACTCACATTAATCACAATTAAGATTTAGTAGGTCAAACACATTGACCGGAGCCCTTTTCCACACATTTCGACCCCAAATCCCAACAATTGCACTTCCGGCATTTTTCGTACATTCTGCACCAGATTTTATATTCATTTGCATTCGAAATTTACATATCACATCAAACATCAATTAAAAATGTTTTATGTAAAATTTCGGATCATTTGGATTAAAATTCATATAAGTGATAATAATATTTAGAAATCAGGGTTTCGACATTATCGGCAATCATTTCCACTTTTTATCGTACTTTCTTTTAAAACAATTTTTCCTAAACTCACACATTCTCTAAATCATGCAAATCAGCCCCTAATTGCACCTTAAACTCTCCCTTCACTCCCATAAATTTTTGTTCCATCCTAGCCCTTGAAAAATATACCGAACATCTCAAATGACCATTTTTCACAATTTTCTCACCTTCGGTTTAATACCCATTTGGAACCCTTACCTAACAGCCCGTTAATTACGTTTCATACACTTAATGAAACTCACAAAAACTTGTTGTGAAATTAAATTACAACAACCCGCTAATTTATGATAATACACTTAATTTAAGCTCACAAAAATTATGTTTTAAAATAAACTAAAATAGTCCCTAAAATTAACTAAAATAGTCCTTGAAATTAAAATAAAACAACCCACTAATATACATAAATACTTAATCAACCTCTCTATTCATCACCGATAATTATATTAACTCATAATAATGTGAAGATTACAATAATACCCTCAATTTAAAATAACTAACATTCTACACTTACTAACATTTTCAGCATTGAACAATAAGTAGATGACTTGTTACTCAAAATTTTAAACTATTTTTAAGAAGTGCATAAAATATTACGTGGTATGAGTTTTAAGTTATCAAAAAGGTTTAATTCATTACGTACTTAAACTATTCAGCTTTAAGCCTTAAGTGGTATTATCAAACAGCCCTTAATTTCACAATTTATATACCCACTCCACTAGTAACTAAATCCACAATATTCTATATTCACCCCACTAATAACTAAACTTATCTCAATTTTCACATTTAAGATTTCCTTTTATATTTCATCTCACATAGCCTAGGTGTCCATGACCCGGATCAGGCTTAGCCCGTGAAATTTTTTTTGAGTTGAACCTTTGTAAAATAGGTCCAAACCCTTATCTGAGTGAGTTAGTGAGCGGGTTTCGGATAGGGATTAGCTACCCGTAGCTCAACTCGTCACTTATTAGGTGGGCCTGTTGGAATTTTGGAGGGCTTACAGGCGGACCTCTTAGGTGGGCCTATTGAATGGATATTTTATATATAATTTTATTTAAAAATAATGAATTTTTTTGTAATTATATATATATATATATATATATATATATATATATATATATATATATTAATGGAGTGGATATAGCCATTAGTGGAGAAAATATAATCAAGTGAATTTAATAATTAAAATTTTAATAAGACGAAAAAATCAATTGATCATGACTAGACAGGACACAAACTAGTGGAGTAGAAATCAAACACAGGCCGGACACTGATCGTTGAACTGAGAAAAAAGAGAGGAAGAGATACACCCAAAGAGGCACAAACTTGTGGAGTAGAAATCAAACACAGAAAGAGTGAGAGAGAAAGAGAGAGAGATTCACACACACAGACCCCAAGACAGAGAGAGGCAGACCAATGAACAAGAGCACGAGGGAAATTGAAAGTCAAACTCCATTAAAATTTTGAGGAATAATGTTATCTAACTCAAATTTACGTCACAAATGAAAGAGACCATTAAATCGGTGATTTCATTTTGCAAAAGTCGATGAACCCACCGACCTAGATATCTTCGTTTAGAATACAAATTTGGATCACGTACTATTTCCCAAATTTGAGAGAGAAAGAGCTACTGTGACCCATCACTTGGGCAACCTCCACTACCCCTCTACGTTAACTCTCTTGTGCTCAACAACTAGTCCCATTCTCTTGTGCTTCAGACTCAGCTCTCTCCGAGTACGTCTTTCTTTCTCTCTAAACGTTGGGAAAATAGCGCTTCTTGTTTAGGTTTAGCTTGGGTTTTCCTGTTGAAGAGTGCCCGGGCTCGAAGAAAGTGATCGCATTTGTTGATTATATCTGAAATTTGGAATTTTGGTGGTTGGATGTATGTTCGAAAATCAGAGTTCATAAAAAAAGGACAAAAAGGTTGGCTTTAGGGAGGAAAGAAGTGCGTGAGAACTGTAGTAGCGAGTTGATTGGTCTGTCTGATGGTTGGAATGGGGTTGAAATTGATGGTTTCCAGCTCAATTGCAGTGATTGTGATTGGTTTTCTTGTTCAAGCTTCTGTGTCTGTTTTGGCAGAACAAAATTCAAAACAGGACTATTCCGGCTATGTTGAGGCCTCCCAAGAGGCTGAAACAAACTATCTAGTGAGGGTATTCAAGTTCTTCTGGCACGAAGGAAAGTTCGTTTACAAACATGTTTGGCCGGTAAGTCATTCTGTTACATATAGTTTTTTTTAAAGAGATTTCATTTGAATGCTTTCCTGATCATAATAACGGAGAATTTAGGGTGGAGTTGGAATTGATTGAGTCCAAGTTGGTTTGATTGTTCATTGTGTTAGTTCCTGTGGTAGTATATAGATATGTTTGCTTGTGTCATAAACCTGAAAAACTAGTCTCTTGTTGCTGCTCTGGATTATATGCCATAAAACTAAAGAACTAGTCTATTGTTACTGTTATGGAGTTTGGATATTGACTTGAGGACTGCACCATTGGCTTCACAGGAAATGAAATTTGGATGGAGAATAGTTTTGAGTACGGCAATTGGATTCATTGGAGCTGCATTTGGGAGTGTTGGAGGTGTTGGCGGGGGTGGCATTTTTGTTCCAATGCTTACCCTCATCGCAGGGTTTGATCCAAAAACATCCACAGCACTATCAAAATGTAAGATCGTATGTCATGGTAGAAGTGCTCATAACGTTTTCTTGATGCGGTGTGTTTCAATTAGAATTGAATAACCCTGATGTCTGCGAAGTTGTTATCATGATTTCAATTTGTATAGATCAAGCTATATTGCAGCTTTGTATTGGATTAGTACCTGGAAAATCTGTCAGTTTTTTGTTATTTGGTCAGGTATGATCATGGGTGCAGCAGGTGCATCTGTTTACTACAATCTTAAGCTAAGGCATCCAACACTTGACCTGCCAATTATTGACTATGATCTGGCACTTCTTTTCCAACCAATGCTTGTGCTTGGAATAAGTATTGGAGTTGCTTTCAATGTGATGTTTGCTGACTGGATGGTCATGGTCTTACTGATTATTCTTTTCATCGGTAATATATGTTTCAGTTGCGCACATAGTCTCATCTTGGACAAACTGCTTAATTGATCATGATCTGCAGGGACATCAACTAAGGCATTCTTCAAGGGTATTGAAACATGGAAGAAAGAAACCATAATTAAAGAGGTAGTCTAAAACTCAACTTCTTTGTCAAGATTGAATGTGTATGCTGAAATTGAAGTATGGTTGCCAGCTATCCTTCGTCTGACATGCTTTTGATTCCAGGAAGCTGCAAGACGCATGGCATTTAGGGGTGAGTTTGTTTGTCACCTGATCAATCTTTGAAGTTTTTTGGAGAATTTTTTGATGGGCTAATTTTTGGATGATATTGTGAATTGCATCATATGGTCATTTTCTTCTAACCAGGCAGTGATAATGAAGAAGTGGCATACAAACTTCTACCTGGAGGCCCAAGCAATAGTACTCAAATGAAGCCCAGTGAATTTAAAGCATCAGAGGTAATAGACATTTACAAGTAGTACAGTTGTGCCTCTTAGCACCGAAGGCTGATTTCCACATTGATCCCAGGTGCCTATAGTTGACAATGTCTGTTGGAAGGAACTCGGTATTCTTGGTGCTGTCTGGGTCATAATCCTTGCACTGCAGATAGCCAAGGTTCATATAATACCTTTCTTCAGCAGCCTGTGATATATGTTTTTTCTGTGCTTTTGTGCATGGATGAGGCAAGCTAATGGGAAACCTTTGCATTAATTGTTGAGACAGAATTACACAACAACTTGTTCTGTGGCGTATTGGATATCAAATCTGTTGCAGGTACATTCCATTGCAGCAACAGGGAAAAAGAAAAAGAAAAAAAGGCCCTTCCAACCTCTTTCTCTTAAAGGAAAAAAATGCTTCATGCTTGAGATGGCATTGTCAGATGAGCCATTCCTTTATTTGTTTTGCAGTTTTTTTGAATTTAGCCATGAAGATTAAAGATTCATATTCTCTCAGATTCCCGTGGCTGTTGGAGTTTCTGCATTTGAGGCTGTCAGCTTATATAAAGGACGGAGAGTGATTGCATCCAAGGGAGAACCAGGAACAAATTGGCAAGTCAACCAGCTGGTTCTTTGTTGTTTCTGTGGTGTTCTGGCTGGTATTGTTGGTGGCCTGCTTGGTCTTGGTGGAGGATTCATTTTGGGCCCACTGTTTCTGGAGCTGGGAATCCCTCCCCAGGTGCACTTCATGCTCTTTTATAACACTATAAGGTTCTGTTTGGTTTGTATTTACTTTTCTGTGTTTGTCTTGTATGCTTTAGTGATTCCTTTGTTGAAGCAGGATTAAAGGGTACACAAGTTACCCTTTTGTAGGAGTTCAAAACATGTTGGCCGGTGGATTAAGAGATATTTAATTGCGCTATGTTTATAAATTGATTTATGCCCTTGGCAAGGGCATATAAAATAACCTCTGGCGGCAATTATCATAGTATCTGTTAAAAGTTCTTATTCTTCAGAAGGCAGTTTGTGAATTTGGGCGGACTGACCAAGTGAAACCTTTTGATGTAGGTGTCAAGTGCCACTGCCACCTTTGCCATGTCATTTTCCTCATCCATGTCTGTTGTAGAATATTATCTTCTAAACCGTTTTCCAGTTCATTATGGTAAGGCATCCTGCCAATTTTGTTTACTGCTGTTCGACACCGGAGTGATACAAGACAACCTCTTCAGTTCGAGTGTCAGTAATATCTTTCTTGTCTTGGATAATATGCTCTTTTCCATTTTTGTATTTTTTTCCAGCTCTCTACTTCATTGCAGTGGCAACAATAGCTGCACTGGTTGGGCAACATGTAGTAAGAAAGCTGATAAGTATATTAGGGAGAGCATCTTTGATCATCTTCATTCTGGCCTTCACAATCTTTCTCAGCGCTATCTCGCTAGGTAAGTATTGCTTAAAGATCTTATTAAAACCGTTGGTACCCAAAATAAGGTATTCCATTAATTTCTTGAAACAATTTCTTTCCTAACAGGTGCGGTTGCCTTATTAGACATGCTTGAGAAGATAAAGGGAAAAGAGTACATGGGATTTGATAACATCTGTGCATATGGACCTTAATTCTCAACATTCCTGGTGTATCTCCCCAAGCATTAATATATTTCTTTGCAATTCTGTTTCAAATCTTGGATTTTATAGCAGTTTTAAAATGAAAGATGCTTTGCAGTTTAAACTTGGGCGGCATTGCCTGTTTGATACTACCCTCTCTCTCTCTCTCTCTTTCACACACACACACACACACACACACACAGAGCACATGAAGATGACTGGGCATACATATGAAGATGTTTTTCTGTTGACTGATATGGAAGAACGCTGATAGCACAGTTTTGGCCAATGTCATTTATAGACTGCAAATGCTGGGTTGGCAAGGGCTTCAGTACATGAGTAATGAGAAAGCCAAATGAAATATAAACAAATCCTTAGCTTTACAATTTATAACAGAGCAAGTTTTTTTCCTGTAATGCCACACTATCCTACTAACTAGCTCAATGATAGCAAAGGGAACATTACAAATCAACCTCTTAACGGATCTTGATCACTCCAGTTTCACTACCATGATGCATCAAAATTGAAATTCATCTTCCCAGAAATGCAGGGACACAGAAGCTGGACAATTTAAACATGGAGTCCCAAGATCCGGACGCGGCAAGCCAAGAAATGTGCAGGCCAGCAAGTAGGCTTCAGCTATAAGTGCACGAGTCCTTCTTGAACTTTATAGGTTTTGTGCTGGTTGAATCGATAACCAAAGGGCAAGAAATTTGCCTTTGATGCTTTGTCCGCACCAATTTCCCTACCAAATCTCCCCGTGACCGAATTTCAAACTCTAATGTCAATGGAACTTGGACACCATTGTCAGAGACAGTTAAACTTGATCCGGCCCCGTACAAAGGAACCTTAGTTCCTTCCAAGTTCACCAAAACAAGCCAGCGACTCTTTCTTGGCTGATAATATTTCTTCAACTGCAATCATAATTCACAAAAAAAAAAAAAAATGTTTCACATACTCCATTGAAATTCAATAGATAACCATAATGCTGAGAAATTTAATCTGAACCAAAGTCATTTCAAGTTCTTCACAGCAACTCAGAAGATACAGAATTGAAAAAACAAGCCATTTTATATGTTTGAAGCTTGTAGAAGCAAGTGACCTAGTCTATCATCTATTATTTGGATTCATTTAGAGCTTCCCCAACACCATTGAGTGAACTATGATTACTTAACGGGCTAAACTTAGTCATACATTTACTTAAGAATAAATGGCAGAAATGGGCAGAAATATCACCTGACCAGTTGCAACGGTAATCTTAGAATAAACGAGATTAACGGGTGTGGAGCTAACATGAATGCCATAGAAGGTAGCAGGGTTGTATATGGTCATCCTCAATGAGCTATTCACAGTCAGCATCTTGGTTGGAACCCCACTCAAGTCTGAACCCACCCCAACGTAGACGTTATTCACTACCAAGCTCTGCAATGATTGCCTCATCCATTAAACTGACAAGAATAAATGACTTAAAAAAAACAGCAAGACTTCCCATTTGTATCTCGATGATTTCCAGTTAAAAGATGTTAAATTTTTAATTGCAACCGATAGAGAGCAGAAGTGGGAATGAAGACCATGACTTTATTAGTGTCTTGAAAATGAACTATACCTAAAATTTGAACATAAAAGAAAGAGAACATGAACTATAATTTGTTAGACTGAAACCATAGAAAAATATCTACTACATTAGAAGAAAAGGCCAAATCAATGCACAACAATATAACATTATTCCCATCAACTATGCACTAACAGCCAATTCAACACAAACTATTTTTGGGATTAATTACTTTAATTTTTTCTAATGCAGGCTAATTACTAGGACTCTATTCATCATTTGGAATTATTTGTGGTTGAAAGAGAAGACTCCTTAGTAGCACTGCCAAGATTGCTAGCGGGGAGAGCAAGACTTGGTGCTAACAGACAAAGATCTCCCTTGGCCAAACAACTGTTGAGCTTTCAGAACTTCTTGTACATATGTTCTGAAGTTTCTTAGCTTATTACCACAGGAATAAGCATAGCGCAGAGAATTTTTGTTTTATGTTCCTTATCGTTAGAGCTCTAGTTTTCTTGTTCTTATAGAACTCATCTAGTATTATGACCCCCTGGTGAATTCTAGGGTGGTTCATACTTCATATTTTCCGGTGAATTCCAAGAGGTTCCTTGATGGATTTCGAGGGTTCAGAAATTTATCCGGCAGTGTTGATGCTTTTTTTACTGCTAGCATGATTTTAAGTTGGTTCTATAGTCTATACTAGTTATGACATGTGAGTTCTTAGCAAAACAAAATAAATAAATAAGGTAATTTCATTCACAACATGCCATTTCCTTGATCCTTACATCATAGCCATTCCTCCCACTGGACAACATAGAAATGTGTGGCAATATATCGACACATTCTTTAAATTGATTCACCTAAAGTAGTTGATTGCTAACAAGTTCATCATCACATTGATAATTTCAAATTACATTTTTCATCCCAATGGTTAAAAAAAAAGTACAAACAGAGTAAATTGGCTTACCTTCACAGTAACCTCGTACAGAATCAAAAATCAAAATCTAGTATAAGTGAAAACCAAAGAGTAATTGGGCATACCTTGACGGTAACCTCAGCTTTGTAAGGCCTTCCAGCACCCCATATAATCAGGCAAAAGACAGTAAACAGAACAACAAAACCCAAAAAACCCAACAAAACCTGACACCGCCTAGTGAACCCCTTTTCATCATCAAACTCATCATACTTTCCCTCTTCTACAATCACATTACACTCCGGCCACCCCTTATCGTTCCTTTTCCGGCCACCTTTCCTCCCCGACGAAGACCGGAATATCCCCGAAAACCGACTAGCAGAAGAATTCCGGGAGTGTCGGCCAAAAGAAGGGTGCGAAGGTGATTCCATTGGACTATTGAAATTGGGAGTGGCTTGCATTGATGAGGACTTGTCCCCATCGTGAGAATCCCTTGAAGGGCTCTGTACATAGTATACTGGCCTCTTAGGAGACCTTGAAGGCGATGATGGGGCTAAACTAGTTATATCAGACTCAGATTTTGTATGAAGCATATTTCCAACAACTTTTTACCAGAATCAAAGCCGTCGAATTCAACAGGAAAGTGAAAATATTACTCAAAAAACTTTCTCACAAATTCACTGAAGATACCAAAACTGAAAATCTTTTGATACCCAAAATTTTTTTGGAGATATGGTGACGATTTTGAACCCCAAATTGAATTCCCAAGAACTTAAACGGTAAATCGAAGTAAATTACTGAAATTTTGGAATGAAATTGATGAAGTACAGACGAGCAAATACACGATGGGTAAAAATTGTGTTGTCCACAATGTAAGAAAATTCAGCTGTCTCTCTCTCTCGATCTGTCTCTCTCTTTCTCTGAATCTGTCTCACTGGAGTGTTCTGTGTGCACCGTGCATGAAAGAGAAAGAAAGTAGCCATCTATGTACGGCTATGTAAAGACGAGGGAGAGCAACCCGCCAACCACCACCAAGTGCGCTACAGCGGTTAACGAGCCTGAAACCGGACCTGGCCCCAAGGCTACACAGAACATTGGTGTGGGAATGAGTGTCGGCACCAGAGACCAAAGGTTACTCCATTATAAGATGGTGGACCTACTTTAAATTGTTTATTATTAAAAGGGCAATTAATAAAGCAACCAATTTTAGATTCTTGTATTAATCACAAATTACATCTCGAAATATCGATTCAATTTTAATTTATACTATCAAAAATCAAAAAATTTAATTTACATTTTTAAAGATAAAAATTTATATCAATACATAATTTAAATTAACAGTCATCAATCAAATAGATAAATTACTCTTAAATCTCTTTATGTTTGTCACTTAATTATTTGAACTCCTCACATTCAGAATATTATTTCTACACTTCCTGGCGTTTGTGCACATATAACACATAATATCTTGTTGTTGATATCTGTTAATATAATCGTTAAAAAATATGATTTCATCATAATAAAGAATTATAATTTTATACTACCCTCTATTTTGTAGGTTTTTTTATACTCTAAAGTTTAAAATCAAGTTTATCATTTAAATGCCCAAAATAATGTATGTATTTACATAATGTTATTTGTATCTAATGCAATACATCACTTAAACAAGATTATTTGAATGCCCAATTGGAGAAACATTTTTAATCACATTTGAATTCTTAAGGTATGTAGGTGTAATACTTTAAATGTGAAGAATTTAGATGATTAAGTGATAAGCATGAAGGAGTTTAAGTGTAATTTATTTATTTAATTTTAGACGGTAAACTGACGGCTGTTAACTTGAAGTGCGTATTTATATAAATTTTTATTTTTAAAAGTATAAATTGAGATTTTTTATCTTTGAAGAAATAAATTGAGATTTAAACGATATTTTGAGGGTATAATTTAAAATTAACCTTTTTATTTTGGTTTTGTGGTCAGTTTGGACAACTTATGCATCTCTCAATTAATTTTTTTTTTCGATTCAATTAAAAACAAACCATTGACATTAAATTAGAGAATTCATGAGATCCCTCACATTTAATCTCGAGAGATTTTTATTTTTTATTTTTTATTTTTGGTTCAATAATCAGAAGTGTTTGCGTTAGATTACGCGTACCTTGATTAATTCCTTCTCCGATCTAATTAAAAACAGATCATTTATGCTGGAACTAAGGTACTAATAAGGGATAAATCTTATATAGCCTATTGCTAAGGAATTATCAAAATTCAAACTCAAAATATTTGGATTTATAATTTGTCTCTATTACTACTTGAGTTATTCTTTGTGGTTGTCTCGGGGTATTTGCCACTGTTTATCTACAATAATTGTCAAATATTTGCCACGATAATTAGGTATATCAAAATATAATACAATTCGTTAACACGATATAAAATTAGAGGGTTGAATCTTTTTTAAGCACCAATTTCGTAAACAAATGGACTCGACCAGACACGATTAATAAATAAATTGGGTATGAATGAAATCACTAAAAAGAAATACAAGATACGACTCATTTATATATCAATTATACATGATTTGATACACAACACGAACCTAATATAATATAATTCATTAGACACAAATTAATAAAAAAAATTGAGCATGTGCATAGTACTTTTTAACATAAACTCGTTAACGCCCGGCACGAACCCGCTCCACGAGTTAAGATTGAGAGACCTAACGGTAATAATAGAGAGTAGAGTACTATTTTTTATCTTAATTGGAATTTCAAGTTTTACATCCCAAATGAATAGAAGTCATTGCATTTTGTTTAATTTTTTTTAAAGACTCATTGATTCAAGAATACCATTCATTTGGAATCCCAAATATAACAAATGGGCTAATATAGTAATACCAATGGAGACCCCATCAGTACAATATTCCTTGAAAGAATAGAGCTAGAGACATTTATAGGTTACTGTATAGTAAGGTATACTATAAATGATTATAAAATCATGTTCACAAAAAAGATTGGAGTGCTTAGAATGCTACTGCCTATTAAGCTTCCATTCATTTGAACATGATTTCATTGTAAACATAATCATTTTAAAACCTTTGATATTACATTCTCCTTGTACTAATTCCATAGCACATACAAAACATTATAGATGGACATATAACAAGCTTTAAAAAAGAAAACTCGATTTGCTCGATAAATGACCTTGATACGAACCGATTCTAAACTGTTGATAAACAGTTCAATAAATTTCAACACTATTTAATGGGATTTTACGGGCTTTCTACAAAAATACCTACTCTATTTTAGTCAAGTTTCGCATCGGTATTTTGCGGACTTAACAAGCTCAGATTGGGCCAACAAGAACGAGACCCAAATGATATTGAATCATTTTATATTTTTTATAGGAGTATTAATATTATATGTATGAAAACATATAAAATTTGTCGTTAATATAAAATAGTAGTAAGAGTATGTTGTGTTGAATTGGGTTTAAAAATCTAATTCACGCCAGCAAGTCTAATGCTCTGTTTAGTAGAAAGGATAACAAGTATGAGGGATACACTTTATATCCTTTAAAGATGAAAAGTATGAAGGATACACTTTCCTTCCTTTATGTTTGGTTGGATGGATGAAAAATAAAAATGACTTTTTTTTTTTTGGTGCTAGCTAAGATTAGGGGTAACAATCGAGTCGTGTTGTGTCAGATTCGTGAAATCATTACAGATTTGTGTCGAATATTAGTCAAACCTAATTTAACTCATTTAACTAATTGTGTCGTGTCGAGTTGTGATTTGACATGTTTGTTTTAGTATCGAGTTCGAGTCGTGTCATGGTGTTGAGTCAAAAATTTTCACCCTTAGTTAAGATGGAAAAAATATATATTTCTTAATTTTAATTTTTAATTTTTTTAAAAATATATATACATATTTTACCATTATATTTTTATATGAAATTAATGTATACATAATATATGTATATATAAAAAGATATATAGACAAATAAGATACATCTCAACACAAATAATTAATTTTCTTTCTATTTTACTTCCGATTTTGGAGGGATTGATTTTAGTGAGTTGGAAGGAAAGTTAATTCATCGACTTTTCCATCCTTCCTACTTTCCTTCCTTACCAAACATAATATTTTATTTATCCCTCCAACTTTCCATCCTTCCAATTTTTCATCCTCTCACTTTTTTATCGTATCAAACGGAACATAAATCCTACCTAAATCAGTGAGCCTTTCTCGTTGGTCCAAGCCCTCTACATTAATATGGGCTGTGGATGCATTTGGCCCAATACACAACACTTTGAATTTTCAGACAAAATCGTTGGTTTGAATTTCGTTGTCTCTCTTTCTTGTAATAGTGATTGATCAAAAATAAAATATAAAAATAGAGTTCAAAATAAATAAATTCATCATCTTGTTTTTATCAAAAAAAAAAAAAAGAAAGAACAAAAACTTGTAATTAAGGAGGCATTCAGATATAAATTTCTGATTTTACCCCTACCCACCACCACCGCTCCAACCACCACCACTATAACCACCACAACCAAACAAACTACTTCCATACTCAACACAACCGATGCATCTTATCATACTCTTTCCAATTATTCAGATTCCTAGCTGTTAGCAAACGTGTAAAAGTGTCTTCGGAATTTTTGAGTAATGTTCGGAGTTGTCGTTTTGAAAACTGCTAGTCATGCTTGTTCTTTTCTTGACCACCAAGCTCAAAGACAACAAAATAAGAATCTAATGTAGGGACCATGATCTGAGCCAGACCATAAATAATTGAGTCAATGTCTTTTTCCGAGGTTGTCTTTCTTTCTGTCAATAATTACTACGTACATCACAAGCCAGGGACCTGAAGTATAGAAAAAAAAAAATTGGTATCATATTTTAAAAATTTATTATTTAATAATTATTTGTTATAAATTATTTTATATCAAAAAGATTATAATTTTTATGAATGATTTATTACTTTTTGTGAATGTTTTATTATTTTTTTATATATTTTTATTATTATTGTGATAATTATTTTTATCAACAATGGTGGTAAGGCGCCAACTTTTTATTTTTTTATATTTTGGGTACTATAGACTTACTAATTTTCCGTTTGGTATAATGAAAAAAATTGAATGGTGAAAAATTAAAAAGATGAAAAGTTTGAGGTATAAATAAAATATTATGTTTGGTAAAAAAGAAAAATAGAAATGATGGAAAAGTGGATGAATTAATTTTTCTTTCAACTCACTAAAATCAATCTCTCCAAAATCTGAAAGAAAGTGGATGGACGTATATCTTTTAATATATACATATATTATGTATACATTAACTTTATATAAAAAAACAGTAATAAAATATGTATATATATATATATTTAAAAATTTTAAAAATAAAAAAAATATAATATTAACGTTAAATTTTTTATTCAAAATTTATGTGAGTCAACATGAATACGAATACGAACACAATACGAAAAGAAACAGGTCAACTCGCAATTTGACACAATACAATTAGTTAAATGTGTGAAGTTATGTTTGACTAATGTTCGACACAAATTCATAATGAATCAACACGAATCTGATACGACTCTATTGTCATACCTAATCTTAGCCAGCAAAAAAAAAATAGTCATTTTTATATTCTATCAATCCAACCAAACATAAAGGAAAAAAAATATTTTATTCCCACTTTTCTTCCTTAAAAGATAGAAAGTGTATCTTCTTATTTTTTATTCTTCTTACTTTCTATTATTTCAACCAAACGGAAAATAAGGAACTAAATACTTTGCCTTCCTTGGATCAATAGCACCAAGATGATTATTGACCACAAACCTCGAAAAGACTTCAAATTATGAAGCCATTTTTTCTAAGCATAAAACCGTAGAAATTATGAAAGCACACAAGGAACCAAACCAACACTGATCCACCGTTCGACATTGATCTCGATTGTTGCATGTTCACTTTTTTATACTATTGGACATGATACAAGATTAAGTAATTGAAAAGTCGAGTGGAGTGAGTCGCCGAATTGGATGTATTTGTGCTGGTTGGTTCCTCAGGTGAATCGGCGATGGAAGGCGAAGCTCGCGGCAGAGGAAGGAATGAGCAGTAAAAGGGAACAGTAATGTTACAAAATTTTAATAAAATTTAAAAAATTATAACTCAAATGTATATCATCTCTTAAATAAGTGGGTCCTATTAAGTTTTTCAAATCCAAGGAATGTTATTCTTTTTTCTGACATTAGTCAAACATCTATATCATTTCTCTTGCTTTATAAAGATCTTGGCAATTTTATTTCTTGTTTGTTTTTGGTGAGGAGGTGCCGTGGGAAAATCGTTTAAGAATTCAATTATGTAATAAGTAGAAATTAATACCCTTGAAAAGAGTTGTACACAAGTTTGGATAAAAATAACAAGTTAATCCAACACACGTCAACAAAAATGATTGATTGAAGTTAGATTATTTCACCTTTTACTCAAATATAATTGCATTATATAGATCAAACGATCAGAATTTGACTGTATCATTTATTACGCACATACCTTGTTAAACACGTAAACTCGATGCCTCATAATCTTAATTGCATGTCTCTTATTGAAACTCCTATTCCAAGTATAGTTCTATAGTCCTTGATAATAATTTCTATAATAAAAGTATAGTTTAAATCCATAATATTTTTTAGTATGAAAGCGTTTTTGTAAAATACATTTTGATAAAAAAAATTTTAAAATGTATAGAAAGCGTGAATTTAAACTACTTTTTTATGAAAATAATAAGTTAGAAACTATAAGAATTACATTATTTTTATGTTGGGACACTAATTTAATTAAATTGAACTTTTAGTAGAAAAACTTTGCAAACGTGGCTAGCAATTATCACTAAATTTCCAGTTACAAAAAAAAGAAGAAGAAGATATTATCACTAAATTCCACAGGAACCTTGGATCATTTTGAGCCTCATCAGCTTTATCCTTTAACATCGTTATCCATTTGAACATATGTCAAACAGGGAGTGTGTTATTTATAGAATATAGGGTAGGCTAAACTTGAAGTGAGGAGGTAAAGGACAAAGAAATTGTAGGATGTGCCAGCATCAAAGTGCATATCAAATGGCTTCTTTACATTTGGAGGAGACCTAAACGGTGAGGCTACTTTAAAATTTGCTTCCTTGGAACTTTTTTCTTACACACTTGCAAAGATCAGAACATAGAGAGTTGTTATTGGGCTTGCCCTGCTCTTGATTCTAGAGAGAGAGAGAGAGAGAGATGTTAGAAGGCAAAGCTTTGATAGAAGATACTGACATGCCTGTGAAGATGCAGATACAAGCCATGACCTCTGCGTGTCAAGCTCTTGATCTCTACGATGTTTTTGATTGTAAATCCATTGCTGCCCACATTAAAAAGGTAACCAAAGGCTCTCTCTCTCTCTCTCTCTCTCTCTCTCTCAATTAAAGTTCTGGTTTTTTTACTGACAGGAGTTCGACTTGAGATATGGGAATGGGTGGCAGTGCGTGGTGGGATCAAACTTTGGGTGTTTCTTCACTCATACTAAAGGAACTTTCATCTACTTCACCTTGGAGACTCTAAACTTCCTCATCTTCAAAGGGGCTTCTTCTTCACCCTTATCTTTCCCTTGACAGTTGGCAGGTGTTTGGTTGCAGGGTTTGCAGAGAAAAGCTGAGAAAGAAAAATAAAAATGAAGATATAATAGGAAATTTTATTTCCTTACTATTGGGTCGTTCTCTGTCCACAGCTTCCTTTTCCTTCCTCTTTATTTTTCATTTTCAGAGCTGGTTTGTAGAAATATGCAGCAAAGATGGGGAAAGAGAGAGGAAAACAAAAAGCACCCACATAGCCACCAGATGCCCAATCTCTGTACAATAATGATATGAACACCACTGTACCACTTGACTTGTACTACCTAATGTGGCATGATCCTATAGACGATTAATTACGACACTGGTAATAAATAGCATTATGATAGTTATTAATGGTAAGTATAAAGACAGAAAAATCAAAATTAATCCTAAATTTGACACTTGATAGAGCAAGAGCACAATGGTGAGAGAAGATGTATGTTGGTGATCAAAAAATTGTTGGGACAAGGTTTAGTAGAGTTGAACCGGGATTGATCACGTGCACATCACGTGAGATTGCCTAGGGATCTTTTTAGGAAAGAGGAAAAATGGTCAGGCTGAAGTAATTGTCACAATTCCTCCATTATCATCATCATTGGGTTCTCTCATATACACGAGAAGTTGCCCATTTCTTTCTCTATAACTAAGATCATGGTGAACCCGTAGAAGTATCAAAGTACCATCGCAATTGCAATCCTCCCATCAAGAAGGGCCAACATGCATGATGAATATGTGAAGTTTAACACCCTGATTAACTGAGTTGTTTTTATCTCTTCTATGAAGTTCTCTTTTAGTCCGTCTCTAAACTGCAATTAGTAACCAATCGTAATTCCAATTACTACATGGGGAAAGGAGTGACAAAAGAACCTCAACTACAATCAATTCCATTTCTCTCTTCTTCTTCTTCTTCTTCTTCTTTTTTTTTTTAAATCACTGCAGCTTAAAAAAGAGCTATTTCCCAGCTTAGCAATCAACCAAGTGCGATATTGGGAAGAGCTCCCTGATGCTGCTTTACATAAGAATGATCCAATTGCATTGCCATTTTAACTGAAATTAGCAACAAGACTGCACTAAAGATGGTAAGAAATAACTTACGAGAAATCATGGGTACTAACATTAAAGATTGTTATTCCACAAAATATGTTTGCTAAGTTCAGGAGGCAATGATTTCAAGCAAGATGAAGCCTCCAAACAATCATAAATCGACATACCTTCACATCCCAATCAAACAACTGGAGTTAACAGTGGTTTCTTCAAAAAGTGAGCCTCCAAATTCCCAATGACAAGGTCAGCCATGGCGTTACGAGTTTCCACTGTGGCACTTCCTACATGAGGCAAGAGGACCACGTTATCAAGCCCAAAGAGCTGTTCTGGCACTTCAGGTTCATGTTCAAACACATCTAGGCCGGCTCCACCCAACCGTCCTTCAACTAAAGCTGATACCAGCTCAGGTTCATCAACATGAGGGCCTCGCCCAATGTTAATAAGGATGCCCTTCGGACCCAATGCATTGATGACTTCCCGGTTGATGATGTGACAGGTTTCACTGGTTAATGGGCATGCAACGATAAGGATTTGACAGTTGGAGGCCAAGTCAATGACATTAGGGTAGTATTTGTATTCTGAATCAGGTTTCTCTGATCTAGTGAAGTAACTGATTGGACATCCAAATGCTTCAGCTCTCTTAGCAATTGCTGAGCCAATCCTGCCTAATCCAATAATACCAACTGATTTGCCACTAAACTGCAAAAAAACAAAGAAAAAACAAAAACAAAAACAGAAAGTGCATAACACATGAGAACTCCAAGTGGAAAGATGCAAAATGAAAAAAGAACACGAAACAGATTCAGTTCATGATCTATCATCTACATAGGCCGCAAAATTAACCAGAGAACTTGACAAGCATTTGGCTTACGAAGAAAGCCTTCATATGGGAGTTTTCTTATTTGATATCCTTTGTAGGCCCTTTACTCTGCCTTTTGTCATGATCCATAGTCTAGCTTACGAAGAAAGCCTTCATACTTCCAGAAGAAATTATTACCAACTTAAGGGACCCTCTTAAAGTCCCCATTAATCAAGAAAGTTAGGAGGGATGAGCTGAATGCAAACATAAGTTTTGATCTTATTTCCACATAGTAGCTGCTCCTAGACATGGTTGACTGCCCAGTTATTGTGTTGATCAACATTTAGGAAAATAGTGGAACCGTAAGCTAAATAATACAAAATATCCTGCTCTCAACATCACACCTAGACAGAGCACTCGAAGAAAATGACCAAAAAAGTGAGTTAGTGCAGATGAAACAGCATTTTTCCATTAGAATGATACTATCCAAAATATGTCAAAGACAAAGAAAAAAGGTTGGACGGAAACGAAAACACTAATGAACTTTTCAACCATACTTTACCATTCACTCTAAAGCCAATAATGGTCGTCAAGAATTGCATCTCAATGTTTCTAAGTTAAGAATCGAACCCAATGAAATGTATTAATATTGTACCAGTAACCTATATTTAATCTCCAATCTTCTCAAATTCTAAGATGTGTGCCACGAAGTGCAACTCTCAGAAGACTAATAAAGCTTCTGTCTCATCACAAAAGGATCCATAAGTTTTAGTAAACACAAAGGATTGCATAATTTTAGTAGCACGAGGTAAGGTAATTGGAACAGAGAAATATCCTACCAACTTCTAATGGGAATTTTTGAGGTGTGCAACAACAAATGCTTCTCAGCTGCACAAAGTTCTATCAAGGATTGTTCACCAAGCAATTCCACCATCTAAAAGCTTCAAAAAAATGACATAAGGAGACTGAACTTAGAACTTGATGGTTGAGTATGAATTCGGTCAACCACCAAGCTTCCTGGTTCATACTAAATTTACAAATGCTATTAATTTACACCTACTCTTAGAGTTCCAATCACAAAGAAAAATTCTCAGCCAACAACTGTGTTGAACCCAAATAGTCAATTCCGTGATTCGTGTCCCAAAATAAAACTCAAAGATTCAATTTCTTTTAGTTTCTGACTATTTCTCGGCAACCAAACAAACTTAATTTAAAAATATAACAAGAATGCAAAAACCAAACCTTAGTAGTCAATCTGAAGTCCCCTTTCTTCCACAACCCACTTCTCACATACCGATCACACTCGCACATCTTTCTCAGAGTCGCCAAAATCAATCCGATCGCCAAATCCGCCACGTCCTCAGTCAACACATCGGGCGTGTTGGTCACCCTAATCCCCTTCTCCTTACACTTCTCCAAATCAATCTTGTCCAATCCCACGCTGTAACTCGCGACGATCTCCAAACCGGGCAGCGAGTCAATCAACTGAGCATCAGCGCCGGCCGTGGTGTAGCCGACGACTGCCCGGATCGAATTGGAGTTTTCTTTCAAGAATTCGGTTTTCTGAGGGAAGTTCCAGAACCGGAAGAGCTTGAACCGCTTGTCCAGTTCTTTCTCGAGGTAAGGCGACATAGGGCCAGCCATCAGAACTCCAATGGCTTCCATTGTAGTCTTCGCTGTGTATTGGACGGAACGGAGGGGGAATATGAAGTTGGGGTTGATGGGGATGATAGAGATTATGTCCTGATTGGTATGTGTGGGAGCTTGCGTTCGCTGGCTTGTGGTCAGTGTTTGGTTGTTTGATTATTTGGCTTGTGTTCGCTCAGACCGTTTGTCATTTAATCAATCGTATCCTGACATTTAAAGTATTATATAAAAATCTTCTAAAATTTGTATGGATATTACATTTAAATTGCTGCTGTAAATATTTTTGTTAATAAATTATATTTAAATTCCTTAAAATTTGTAACTATATAATATTTAGACCCTTAAATTTAAAATATTAAAACAAAAAATACTTTAATCAAAAATAAAATATCAAATATTTTAAATTTTATAACTAAAATTCATGTTCTATTGCATTATTTATTGAAATAAATCTAAAACTAAAAATTTAATTTTTTCTTAAAAAATTGTAATTTGTATACAATTATACTATCTAATAGAATAAAATTAAAAAATAAAATTCATGTTCTATTATATTATTTATTAAAATAAAATCAAAATTAAAAAGTTAGTTTTTCAAAAAAAAATCATAGTTAGTACATAATTATACTATTTATTACAATAAAACTAAAAAATTAAACAAGGGGTTAAACTGTAATAGACACACTATCTTTTAATTTTAATTAAGGTAGTTTCATATTTTAATTTGGTCGTTTATTAAATTTCAATAGACAATATAATTATATACTAATTACGATTTTTGAAGAAAAAATTAAATTTTTATTTTTGATTTTATTTCATTAAAATGATATAATATAACATAAATTTTAATAGTAAAATTTAAATTATTTGATATTTTATCTTTGTTTGAAATATTTTTGATGTAAATATAATATTTTAAACTTAAGGGATCTAAATAATATATATTTACAAACTTTAAGAGGTTTTGATGTAATTTATTAACGGATATATTTACAGTAGAAGTCTAAGTGTTAAGCGAGTATAAATTTAAAAGATCTGTGTGTAATGCTTCAAAAGTTAGGTTGTCTGAATGATTAAGTGACAAATTTTAGAAAATTTGAACGTAATTCTTCCATTAATTAATTAGTTATTTGCTGAATATTATCACGTGGTTGAATCGAAAATTTACTCCTGTGGCTGTGAGTCAAATGACTCTTGCTTTATCTTACTAATTCAAATCATTTTTAAAAACTATTATCTTATTTTCACCGCATAAATTGTCTCGGATAAAATTCTACTCCTATTTGTTTGATAAATAGAACGGCATCGTTTGGAAGAATAGTAACTCAGACGTGTATGGCAGAAGATTCGGTTATAAAAGTTTAACAAAAATCCTAAATATGTGGATGGTGAATTAAACGGTAACATTGAAAAGGGCAAACTTCATTTTAATCCCTCGTGGTTTAACTTATTTGCACATCACGTCCTTGCGGTTTTGAAATTGTGGTTAATGGACAAAAATGCAATGTTTATATTTTCCATCCAACTTAACTGTGCGGAAAAGACGCACCCAATTTGCGATTTGGCATAAAATAAAATATATATATATGTTAAAAGGACAAAAAGGCCCTCAACCTCTATCGTATCCTCTCCTCTTTTTCCAAAGTCCCCTACTCTCACTCTCACTCTCACTCTCACTCTCACTCTCCCTCTGCAAGCCCATCGACGTCTCTCTTTCTCCCTCTCCAATACCAACCATTGGCACCCACCTCTTGGTTAATAGGCGACGCGACCAACACCCACACCTCTTGTCTCTGCTGATCAACCACCACCACCCACCTCCTCTTTACGCAAACAGTCATGGCACCTAGCTCCTCTTTGCAATGATTAACCACCACCATCCACCTCCCCTTACGAAGCTTCTCTGCGAACGTTAATGGCAGAATCAATTTTTTGGAAATCCAATTTCTAACTTTGATTTTCGTTTCAATTTTGGGTTGACTCCAGTTTGGATTCAATTTCAAATTTACTTCGTTGGGGATTCTGGATAGATTTTGGTTCATTTCTAGTGAAGAATACATCAGTCTTTGAGGATTGATTTTTGGGTTGAATCTTGAGTTTATTTCCTTTACTGTTTCAATTTTTATTTGTTCTAATTTTGGTCTAAATTTTCAAAGAAAATTTTACTTTTTGTGGGTTGATTTTTGGATTGAATTTTTTCAGCCTCAATTTTGGCTTGTTCTAATTTCGATTTGCGATTTGGGTTTCAATTCTGGAATTGAAATGTTGGATTTGTGGTTGTTTTGTTATAGAAGAGGAGGAAGGGAGAAGAAAGATATGGGTTGAGCTTGTCGGGGAAGAAATGGATGGTCAACCAGAGAAGAAGAAAAGAGGGTGACGAGCCCAGATCCAACTGGGCCTCATTCCAATTCATGGTTAAGCCCAAATCATAAAAAAACATGTCATGTATGGCTCATCTTCTCAGTTTAATCTAAAGTTCAAAAGTTTAAAAAGAATTAACGCACGAGAGTAATAATTGAGATAGTCATTATTCAAATATAGTGTCTATTCCCAACTATAGTTATTCACTTTGATAAATTAGTAACTTAATTTTCACGTCATAGTTAGAGTTTCGTGCCTATAAATTATAAATTCTCTGCACATAGGGTCAGATCTCACACACTTCACTTTGAACGTACTATTACTCTATTTCTCTTTCTCGTACTATTTTTAACTCTCTCATTAATAGAGTTCTTCAGCTACCGTTGTCGTCTTCAGTGATTAGGTCACCCCAATCACTTAATCTTTGTCTTTTATTATTAATTACTTCATTAATTATTTTATACCACGCACTTGATTGATTTAATTGTACATAATTAATTTTGTGCATCATCAGAGAGTATTTAGGTCATTTTTTCTTTTCTTTTTTTGGTTAACAGAGTTGGCTGTTTATTTTACTCCACTAACCGCAAGGGGGTTATGTGCTATTTCAAAACTGCAAGAAGGTGATGTGCAAATGGATTTCACCGCAATGGGGTTATGTGCTATTTCAAAACTGCGGGAAGGTGATGTGCAAATGGATTAAACCACAAGGAGGTAAAATAAAAATAAGCTGTAAATTTAGATATCTTGAATTTAAAATTTGATAACTTTTTTAAAGTTAAATCATAACTGACATGAATAGTCAACCTTTGACCGACTGACAAAGAAATTAATCGAAATGTACATAAATTAGTTTCGAAATCTATAACCGCAATACTAAAACAAATGCAATACTGGAGCCTTTTTGTACCGACTTTGAGGAAGTGTTTGGATTATGTATTAGAATTGGTTGTAGTGAACAACTCCATCCAATCCATACTCATCCATTAAAAGAGAGTAAAGAGAATTTCCTAATTCCCTTCTCCTTATCCCTTATTTGGTTCAAATATTGCAAGGTTAGTGGGTCTCACTCATTCCATATAATATTTTGTTTGAATGGGATACCAAACCATGGTATAACTGTAAAAATGACAGGATTTTATTAGGAGTAAAATAGTCTTTTGAAGCAATATAGTACCCCAACCCAAATTTTTAACCCACATATCATATGGGTTTAATTAAGGAAAATGCTATGCTGCCCAAGTCTTTGTCCAAATTTTATATCCGAAATGAATCTGCTCCACACAATAAATAAAAAAAATGTGATTTTCTGGGTCCACAACAGAATATGTATGGTGCAGATTCAATTGGGATACAAATTTTAGACTATGACTTGGGCAGCATAGTAATGCTCTGTAATTAAGCGTGTGTATGTGGTAGAGTAAAGGATTGTTTACTCAGGCCTTGGAGTATTTTTCAGGGCCAGCACCGGGCCTAATTGTAGTACCAAAGCTGAAGAAAGACGGAATAAGATGAGCTCAATGACAATTTACTCCAATTCATTAGCATAATTCCTAAAACAAACACGCCTGAATGTTGAACAATAATTCTGTACCAACGGACTTTTTTCTTTTGCATTGATGTAATGTTCTTAGTTGTAACAGTCGAATGTTCACTATAATGTCAGTCGTCGGCCTTGTCATTAAACCACTATCTATGGATGTATTTTCAGTCTGGACTCTCGAATCTTTTGCTTCTCGGGTGGTGTTGAACAATGCTGCTTTGTGTTGCGGGAGATGCCCGCCCGTAAGGCCCGGCCTGCTTCCAACCACTCACTGGGTAGCTGGACTAGTGGGGGGCCCCATCTTGTACAATCTGATTGCTGTTCCAAATTTTATTGCCAACAAGCCAGGAAAAACAAAAAAGAAAATTGATTATCGCAATGTTGTTACAATGCGATTCTTGCTCTGATTATGAGAACTACAAGCAAAAACTTGAGAAGAGAGTCTTCCCCTTTTGGTTTGAGCAGCAATCCAACGAGCAGTGGGTTGTTGGAACACTTATAGCTTGAAACCTCATCGAGAGGAATTGGCTTGCTCACTTCTAAATGTATTTTTTCACCGAAACAATCTCTCCACATATGAGATAAAGTCGTGTAGATTTACCCATCCCCACATCTCGCAGTCAGCAGGCTAAATCTATTTGAGTTGAGCTCGAGTTAATCCACCTAAATTGTGCCCCTCTATCAAAATATCCAATTTTAGGAGGTGCCAACCCTTCATAAAAATGCTTAAATCCCATCCCTGCGTAGTCGCTTCTTGGCAAGGACATGTCTGGTGAGAAAAAGGGGTGTCATTAGCTTTGGCATTACTAAATGCCATTACAAACTTAGCAGGTGACCTCTCTTCTCTCTTTCATTCTATAGACTGTATATTAGCTCCCCCACCCCACCCCCACCCCCACCCCCACCCCCAAACAAAAAAAAATCAATTTCATTGAGCATGAAGCTAAATTTCAAATGGTCCTATACACATAGCTCTTCTTTTCAGATTATCATGTTAATACAAATGTTGTAAATTTCCACTGCATGCATAATCTTTTTCCTCTGCCAAACAAATCATTGTTCACCACAATACAAAGTTATGATCAAATATCGATGATCAAGATATCACAATTGAGAAGCGATCCAGAGTAAAAAAGGCAATGCCCCAAATTGCATCGAAAACATATATTCGAAGCAATTAGCAGCAGTCTTAATTAGGCTTGGCTTCGGACATACTTACAAGATGTAGAAAAGATGCATTTAAATACAAGAAAAGGTTGTCATAAAATAAT